GGGACTTCCTGTTGGCAGTCCCTAATACCGCCTTGGGCACCCGCTTGGACCATCGGACCCTTAGTATTGGTGTTGCTCTGCGCCTTGCCGCCCCTATCTCCACCGAGCACCAGTGTATTTGCGGCCATGCACGGGCAGACCAATACGGCAGCCATGGTCTCATCTGTCGTAAGACACAGGGAAAGAGTGCCAGACATGAAGCAGTCAATGACATCATCAAGAGAAGTTTGGCTACAGCTGGGTGCCCAGCACAAAGGGAACCCCAGTTGTGCAGACCTGACAACAGTCACAAACGCCCAGATGGAGTCACCCTGCAGCCATGGAGGGAAGGTAAACAGGTCGTATGGGACTACACGTGTGCATCTACATTGGCTGATACCTATCTACCTTATAGCACAGCTGAGGGAGGCGGGGCGGCCACCTTCAGGGAGACCCAGAAAAGCAACAAGTACAGACACCTAGAATGTTGTTACAGGTTCGTGCCGATAGGCTCTGAGACTCTGGGCGCCTGGGGTAAATGTGCACTTAAGTTCCTGAAGGAGCTGGGCGAGGAACTCATTGGGAAAACTAAAGACTTACGAGCGGCCAGTTTCCTGTTCCAGCGCCTCAGTGTCGCAGTTCAGAGAGGTAATGCGTGCTGTATCTTGGGTACGCACCCGACCCCCGAGGAGCTGGACGAGGTCTTCGAACACTGATTGTTATATTGTTATATTGTTATATTGTTATATATGTGTGTGTGTGTTCTCTATAAACTGTAGCATTGCAATAAAATAAAATAAAATAAAAAATATATAAAAAAATAATAGGGGTGATAGGAGAAGAAAAGATTAAAGTGTTCAGTGAGAATCCGCAAGGTCTTCTCCGAGTACTCTTTATTTTCTTCGAGGGTGTGGGTCCCTACAATTGCACCAGAGGTGGTACACCTCTGGTGTATATATATATATATATATATATATATATATATATATATATATATATATATATATATATATATGTCGTACCTAATAGCCAAAACGCACTTCTCAGCCTACTATTCAAGGCCCGATTTGCCTAATAAGCCAAGTTTTCATGAATTAATGTTTTTTCGACTACCTAACCTAACTTTTTCGGCTACCTAACCTAACCTAACCTATAAAGATAGGTTAGGTTAGGTTAGGTAGGGTTTGTTAGGTTTGGTCATATATTTACGTTAATTTTAACTTCAATAAAAAAAATTGACCTCATAAATAATGAAATTGGTAGCTTTATCATTTCATCAGAAAAAAATTAGAGAAAATATATTAATTCAGGAAAACTTGGCTTATTAGGCAAGTCTGGCCTTGCATAGTAGGCTCAGAAGTGCGTTCTGGCTACTAGGTACGACATATATATATATATATATATATATATATATATATATATATATATTGGTGTATACTGGCAGCAGGTTTTCTTTCAAACATGTTTCATTGAATATGACCGCATATTCTGTATTTATTATTTTCTGGTTTAGGGCTTCTATCCCTCTAACTATTTTCTTAGCATCAGGGCTTAATTGAAATAGGAGTTCTCCAAAACTCATTTTCGTACTTTTAAGGTGAAGAAAAGAAGTGATTTACTATAGAGTGTATTACACTTATTTGTATAATTTGCACGACGTTTCGAACCTCCATGGTTCATTCTCAAGTGAACAGATCTTACAATACTAGTTGATTTTATACCCGCATTAGGTCAGGTGATAATATAATGAAGGTGAAAAACATGGGGGGATACATAAGGGATAAATGTGAGGTGAAACATAGAGGCTGCAGAAGGCTTATTGGCCCATACGAGGCATCTCCTATCTAAACACAAAGATTAATCCAGTGTAATTGGCCTGTTATGTTGGACATTGTCTTCTGTGTTGGCATCGATATGTTCTTGTCTTGTCCTTACTCTCATGGTGGGTAGAGTAAATAGTTCCGTGATTTGGGTGTTCATGGTAGGTCGCTCTATTCTTATGTGAATTGCCTCAAAAATGGACACCCAAATCACGGAACTATTTACTCTACCCACCATGAGAGTAAGGACAAGACAAGAACATATCGATGCCAACACAGAAGACAATGTCCAACATAACAGGCCAATTACACTGGATTAATCTTTGTGTTTGGATAGGAGATGCCTCGTATGGGCCAATAAGCCTTCTGCAGCCCCTATGTTTATCCCTTATGTATCCCCCCATGTTTTCACCTTCATTGTATTATCACCTGACCTAATGCGGGTATAAAATCAACTAGTATTGTAAGATCTGTTCACTTGAGAATGAACCATGGAGGTTCGAAACGTCGTGCAAATTATACAAATAAGTGTAATACACTCTATAGTAAATCACTTCTTTTCTTCACCTTAAAAGTACGAAAATGAGTTTTGGAGAACTCCTATTTCAATTAAGCCCTGATGCTAAGAAAATAGTTAGAGGGATAGAAGCCCTAAACCAGAAAATAATAAATACAGAATATGCGGTCATATTCAATGAAACATATATATATATATATATATATATATATATATATATATATATATATATACCCGCATATATATATGTATATCACTGAAAACTCACACCCCAGAAGTGACTCGAACCCATACTGCCAGAAGCAATGCAACTGATTTACAGGATCCCTTAACCACTCGACCAACACGACCGGACAAAAGAGGATGGTAGCCGAGGCTATTTCCATCCCCCCGCCGGCACTCGGTTGGTAATCTTGGGCATGGTATTTTAGCAAATCACCCTATTCTTTGGGGCACACGTGAGGAACACAAATGCGAACAAGCCTGAACGGTCTTTCAGTGGCATATATGCCTGGAGACCTTTCAGGCTTGTTCATATATATATATATATATATGAACATATATATATAACATATATATATGAACATTATTATTATGTATATATATATATATATATATATATACATAATAATAATAATTTATGTAGACATGCACATACATGTGCTGCATAAAGAGGGAACATACACAGACAAGTACATTCCATAAAGCCACTACTACAGAGTGCGTGTATGCAGCCCAGCCTCCTGTGTTGGTAGTACTTATAGTAACGATGAGGACCATAGTACACATACCGACGTACAACACAATAAAAAAGTAGAAATCGATGCTATTGAGTTGGACAAACCGGAAAACTATTTTTTACCTGTGTTGCAAAGACAAAACAAACCTAACCTAACCTTCCTAGGACTGATACATGATATCAGAGGCCCTAATAGCGTACATATGTGTGTTATACTAGGCCTAGGAATATTTCTTTTTTGTTAGCTTCATTTTTATAAAAGAATTCCTTACGAGTTAGTATACTACTATGGCGCCTCCGACCCCTTGATCGTGGTCGCCCCTACATCAACAACAACATACATTTAAATACAACATACATCAACAATATCTAAAAGCTAAATAAGTACGGATTCGTGACTTTTGACGATTGTCACAATAGGTACTATCTAAACAGGAGGATGGGTTGTTTAGGGGTTGATTGATTAAAGGGTTGGTGAGGTAGACACCGAGTACTAACAAGAAGCAGGCGAACATCAACATTGCTCAAAACATTTTGCAACTGATAGGAGGAGAGGAGCATAATATGAAAAGAAACAGGATAAAAAGAACGACCAGTTGTTATTAGGGAATACTTAACTTTTAGGGCGATAAGGGAACATAATTGAATAATGGAAAGTGCTAAAAAACATTGACAATTAAATGAGAAATTTATAGCTGCTTTAGCAATATACATAAAGTTATTTTTTTTAAAGTAGATAAGAACAAGAAAAATAACGTGCAATGCTTTTTGATATATAGTAATAGCAAATGTGAAGTAATTAACAAGTAATGTTGACAAAAAACAAGACACAGATTTAAATACAGGATTAGAAAAGGTCTGCACAATATAATTGTCATAATTTTAAATGAAGCAGAAATAATTAGTTCTGAAATATCGACAAGTCAGTTGTGGCCTCGTAGGCATATACGCACCACACACCATGGTGTGTGGTGCGTATATGCCCATGGCAATTGCCCATACCCAACAATTGCCATGGGCAATTGTTGCCCCTGTGAGACGAGGTGACATTGACGCGACTCTTGTCACTTGAATAGGTCATCAGTGCTGTAATTCTTGCTTATATACTAAACAAGTGTTAGGGCTCAGTTCATGAGCCTGTAAACTCTTGCACACCATTTCACAGGATGGTTATAGGGCGTATAATAAACAAACTAAACTTAAACACGAAGGTGTGCAGTTAGCCTATAAGTTAGCAGAGTTTAGTTCAATTATTATGCACTCCATTTCCATCTTGTGGGCGGCTGTGGAAAGGGTTACAGAGGCACATAATGGGCTCGGGGAGTGAACCCCACAATTCATTTAGCTAAGCAAGTTACAATCTTGATGGGCTAGTTACCAAATTATGTACATCATCACACCAACAATTATGGGTTCGAGATCGACCACAAGTACAGTTTGTAATTTAAGCAACTGACATATGTGGAGAGCTAGTGTCACAATTAATATGTTATGAGTTATAGGCTATCACAATTGATAGGCTATAAGTGTAGTTGAACTTTCAATTACGCAGTCAATGAAACAATGGTTCTAGAGTATGCAGAAGATAAATAATTAGCGCTATTTGTTACCCGAGAAGAACTGATAAGTAAATACATTCCATATTGTTAGTACGTCTTATATCTTGTACACAAATGCAAACACTAGTATTGCACCACTTGATTCAAAAATAGTGCATAGTGTGCAATATGTTTGTCATAATCCAACATGGCGCAACTCCGCCATGTAGCGTTACCACAAAATATTTAATTTATATTTTTCGTAGACATCCTATAACAACAAGAGTAAAGCAATGTGCACGAGTTTATACAGAACATATATCTTTATTCAAACAAATAAGCTATTGAACAATACGCAATATAATAACGGAGAAATGAGCAATAAGATATTCGGGACGATAAATTTGGCGGCAAAGAGAGAGCCATCTGGCGGCGGGTCGGGGAAGCCAGCAGCGTGACGTCACCCGTCTTCCTCCACCAGTTGGTCCTTTTCGGCGTTACCAGCAGACGCCCCCACTGTGTTCTGTACTGTGTCACCTTTACCACCAAACATCCAAGATGGTAAGTGTCCGCGGCCCCTCTACTCCCCACCATTGTCACCCTTACTCTTTCAGCAATGTATTAGACCCGTCATTTGAGTGAATAGGCGAAAGATTATTTGATGAAAGTTGTAAAATGTTGACGGGGTCTTTGTAGGCCAGCGGGGCTGTCAGTGGCCAGCGCCCTGAAGGCCGGTGTTGGGGAAATGTATGCCAATAAGTGAATATTAAAACACCGTAGTTATCAATAAACGTGTTTTAGCATGTGAATTAAGACTAGTGTAAGTAATAAATGTGTTAATAATGGTGGGTGGCGGCGGCGTCCATCTGGTGTGTTCCGGGACGGCCGCCCCACGTTACTCTGTGGTGTGGCTGGTCGATACGCCACCAGGCTGACCAGTATGGCTGGCTGTGTATGGCTGTGTGGGCCGTGGCCAGGAGGGGTATAATATATCCCTGGTGGGATATATGGCGCACTTGACTGTCTGTTGGGTCATTGGCACATCTAGTGGGAGGTCTTGAGGCGTAGTTATGTGGGCCAGCTGGGTGGGCTCCAGCTGGCCTCCCAGCTGGTATATATGGCCGTCTTTGAGGACTGGTGTTGTGTGGTGTGGGGGCCACACTGTACGGTGTGGCCCCCTCCACACTATTGATCGCTGAAGGGGGGGGACTGGCTCACCCATTAATGGCTTCTTCCATCACATGGGCACCCATTTAAAAAGGGGGGGGGGGAGGAATTTAGACTTGTATAGCATGCCTCCAGTACCCCATATTTTAAGATAATCTGAACCCCCTAGTTCTTCATTGTTATAAATTAGGCCATTTTATTCGTGTGATAAGTTCTGCATTAATGGGTTTTCTCGTTCACCAGATGGGTTGACTGCTGTTTGACAATGGTGTGTGTGTGTGTGTGTGTGCAATAAATGTATGGTATGAGTGTTCCCCCCCACCTGAGGATTAAATTTGTTACAAAATGGCATTTTCATGAAATAGCCAGAGAATAAGGTAAACAAAGAAAAAACTCACACCGTAGTATAAAAAGCCACATTTTGCTGAACTGGTCCACAGGTGGTGCTTTTGTAGTCCAGAATCAATATTGAGGACATCCTATAACAATGTGGCTGGTCTGAAGGGTAAGACTTCAAATATTTAACAGTTTAAATGTCCTAGCCAATGGGTTAGTTATTTCCAGTAACCAAATTCCTAACCTTGCAGGCTATGTACAAATTTCATTTCTTTGCACTTGTTTAATTTTTTGGCCTATATCCTCAATTTTAATGTTTTTAGCCACTCCATCTGTTTGGCTAAAAACAGCTGGAGTGTTTTTAGCCACATTTGTTTTGGCCAGAGTGGCCCAAATCATGTGTACTCTCAACCTTGTGGTTTATTCCAAGGCGTGCTTGTCTTTTAAAATGTTCACACGTCCAAAGTCCTGGCTGCATAGTTACTTGTGTACCCGAGGCGTTCAATGCCTTGGCATCTTGGCTCTTGACGTTAAGTTGTTGCATGACTTGGTGTTGAATGGGTACCACCATAACTACATTTTATCAAACTGCCAACTTATTTATTCTGCCGTCAGCATATTAATAAATTCTTGGTATTGGGTTATAAACTTTGTTCATGCCCCCGAGGCTCCCTCATAATGCTGTATACAGCAAAGACTGAAAGGTTAGTCTTACACAATCTGGCATAATTACATTTATTAAATTTGCATACATATAATTTTTGTAACGGGGCAACTAAAATTATCCATATTCAGTGAGCTAGTGATTGCAGTGAGGCTGGCTTGTAAGAGTACTTACAGTAACGAAAGGTGTTACCATTTTCTTGCTATTATTTTATTAGCTGACTGGGGTTAATGAAAAATTGCTCACTGGAGATGTACTTTTAATTAGCTTTTCATCCAGTAACGTCTAGAAATTGGTTTGTGCAGGGTTCGTAGCACAGTGGTAAAATACTCCCGGCACTTCGAGCGCTTTGGTCTGGGTTTCTATCCTGGTCCGGGAAGGATTGACTGTGCCAATCCTTAACTGTAGCCTGTTAACTCTGCACTGAAATATTATCGGGTTAAGACTTGGCAGGTTGTGTTCCAGGGAAGAAATGGGATAATGAACCTGCCCAAAATGGTGTGTGCTATAGTGGCCTCACAAGAATGTAAGAATTTTGAATATATAGTGTAATGTCTTGTAATGTCTTGCAAACTGTAGTGACCTTGGCTCCTTTGTTAATATGCAGCATAGTTAAATTAATTTTCAGAAAACTAAAAGGTCCATGCCACTGAAAACCAGATATTTTAATCTGGGACCCATAAATGTTTTGTTCATACGGTACCAGATGTTTGATAATCTTAATTACTATTTATGTACTGCCCATCCTCACTAAAGCTCTAGCTTGCTCTACCTTGCCTTACTAGTTTTTTTAATGGCTTCATTCTATTACTGCAAATACCATCATGAAGAATTTGCTGTTCTCTTCCGGATGATTCTGAACATACTATCCACCCATTTCTTGAATCTGATCTGGAATTTGTCGAATAAAATATGTAAACCCTCTTATAATATGTAAACCACTGTGCATAAACTTTTTATTAGAGGTCATGGAATGCAATTTGTTTTCCATATATATAGAAAGTTGTGCACTAGTCATGCTTAATGGTTAACCTTAATTTAAGGATCTTAAACTAGAATACTACTTTGTCACTTTGCTCATTTTTAAAGTAAAGTGCACCCAAAAGTATTTGGTACAATTGGTTGTGCGCTGTGGTGATAACTTTTTGACTAGTATTCTGTGCAACTGGGGCTTAGTGTTGATAACTTTGCTTGGTAGCTTTGCTTGCTGGACCCCCCTGCCTATTTTGACAATGAATTAGTTGGTATGGCTTGTGAGTTGCTCTTAATTGTGTATATACAAAAAAAGGAATTTGGAAATATTGATGCCCTGTACAATCATGCTTTATTCTACACTTGACAATCACCGAGATGTCACCATATTGCAGCAGTATTTCCACCACTCCCTACACAGGGGGTAAGATTCTTATCTCTACATTTATGCACAGTTGCATATTTCACTACCTGTGTGTGAATTCAAAGGACAGCACTTACCCCTAGTTAGTTGACTATGCTATTCGTTATTCAGTAAATTTTTTGTTGGAAAAAGAAATGCTAAAAATTAGTGATGGGTTCAAGAACAGTTCCTGCCACAAAATTTAGTTGTCAAATATTCAAGGGTTGGTGCCTTCTAATACTATTATTAAAGTGACAAAAGTTTCAGGGGCTTTCAGATTTTACAAGAATCGTGCAGGGTGCATAGTATTGTTTTTCCTGAACTTTTGACAAAATCAAGCTTCCAGATTAAACCTGTACAGCAGACAAGACGGGCTGAAAATTTCATAACATTAATGTTTTTGGAAAGTTTTGGGTTTGTTTATTAAGGAGTTTGATTGTATTGAGCTATTGCTTTTACAGTTCAGGCAGAAACAAAATGAAATGTTTGTGGTCATTACTTTGACCATGCTAAGGTGGACCAAGGACAAATACCTGTAAATTTTAAGTTCGTTTTTGACATGCTTGTTGCAAATATACTGGCAAGTTTTGACACCTGAATATTAAAGTGGTGTTGAGAACTGAATTTTTTGGTTGGACAAACTAATCTCTAGTATTAAAAGGGAACCTAGATTTAATTTTTTTTGTGTGCATTTCTGGGATTTAGTGGATTAGCACTAAAAGAAAAGTTGCCATATTAGAAGCCTAAGCACTAGTTTTAATTTTTCACCTTCGCTTATACTTTCAATATGCATATTGTACTGTGGTTTTATATCTAAACAGCTGCACTTGTATGGCACAACCTCTTCCCTCTACCAGCCTACCTAGTCACTTGTTCTGTTAATTTAACTTGTGTAAATATGATGTATATTAGGAGTTACCTAAATACAACTTGTTCAGTATTGCACAAGTTTCCTGGTGATACTTGAGGAATCCTTTGATTCAAACTTTTACACAAGTGGTTACATTCCTGCTCCTGTTGATCCATGTACTCTCCTAGTTGTGCTTGTGGGGGGTTGAGCTTTGGCTCTTTGGTCCCGCTTCTCGACTGTCAACTAATGTACAGATTCCTGAGCCTACCGGGCTCTTATCATATCTACATTTGAAACTGTGTATGGAGTCAGCCTCCACCACATCACTCCCTAGTGCATTCCATTTACTAACTACTCTTGACACTGAAAGTTCTATCTAATGTCTGTGGCTCATCTGGGTACTCTGCTTCCACCTGTCTCCCCTTGTGTGTACCACCCATGTTAAATAATACATATGTCTACCCTGTCAATTCCCCCGAGAATTTTGTATGTGGTGCTCTTGTCTTCCAGCGACATGAGGTGCAGTTCACGCAGCCTTTCCTCATAACTTGTGCCTCTTGGGTCTGGGACTAGCTTAGTGACATACCTCTGAACCTTTTCCAGCTTCGTCTTTGTGCTTGATTAGGTACGGGCTCCATGCTGGGGCTGCATACTCTATGATTGGTCTTGCATATGTGGTATACAAGGTTCTGAAGGATTCTTTACACATTTCTGAAAGCAGTCCTGATGTTAGCCAGCCTCACATAGGCCGCCGATGTTATTCTTTTGACACTAAATTTCTAAAATGTTCCAAATCCTTCACTTACTAAATCTTCAGGCTCTGCTGGATCTAAATACCAATTTAAGTAATTTCATAATCCATTGTTGGGGGGACAGACAGCCAGTGTATTCATACATGTTAGGCTTAAATTGCCCATCCCCCCAAAGTTGAATTTGACCTTGCCCAGGATGCAATGCAATTCCACAGCAAGCTGACTAACTCCTGAATGCTTGCTTACTGCTAGGGGAACAGGCGCATTGATAAGAAATTGACCCAACCATTTCCCTCCTTCCCGGGATTCGAACCTGGAATCCTCGATGTGCATCCAGAACAAACCAGACTACCGGACATGGATTTTACATCCAACTATCAGTGAAAGTGGGCACTGGTATTCCTTCCTGTCCGCTGTCCACATGACTCCATCTATGCACTCATCACACCAGCACTTTGAATATTTTAGCATAAAATATAAACACAACAAAAACAATCTCCCATATCATAAATAGTGTCAAGTGCATGACACTTGGAGGGTAAACAAATATATACTGCCTAGCATAAGGACTTTGCTACCCATTAAGAATTTGTAACCTTTAAATCTAAAATATCTACTTTTGCACTTTATTGGTTTATTAATCCTTTACCAGGTGGAGTAGTGTGTAAAACTGGTTATTGTATTCACAAACATTAATGGGGTATTCTGGGATGTCTACCCGTGTTAAATAATCTACATGTTGGTGAGTTGCTGCCATTATGAAAGTGGTCAGCAGGTTTAAAACCAGCTCTAGAGCCTGTAAACTTGGCTAGTTTGTAACTTCTAAGAAAGTGAAGTAACATGCATAGTGCAGTTAGCTTAATTATGCTGCAACTACTTTGTGGTGTCCAGCTATGGAGGGTAAGTCTTTCTAAGTAACTCATTTTAATCCTCTTTCTTGGCACAGACAGCTTTTTCATAGCTGTTTGTGAATGATAAAGGAGGTATAATAATGGGGAAAAGCCTTCGGTGCCTTGTTGATGTACAAGAGCACCTCCTTACACTTTCCCAACAAGCAATCATTTTATATCAAGGCATTTATTAAAGTAAATTATTTTACGATTAAATTCTTAGTAGGTGCAGTGGTTGGAAGTGGTCCCTTTCTGATATATTTATATATGTATTTAGACTGCTTCAAAATTTCCTTAATGATTTTGTATAACCTATTTTCTTGCCCTCTAGAATCTGGTTATATAAACTGGCATATCTTTCAGGACCCTTTTGAGCTTTGTGTAAATGTGTATAGCTAGCCTACTTGACCTTCCATGCAATGTCTTCCAACCACAATTACTACCTTTGCTGCAGGTTAATTGCACCAACAAAAACTTGCATATTTCCTAATGTACTAGTTGCACAACACTGTCGTGATTTGCTGGCCTGGGTTATATAGAGTCCAATTTATTTTATAACAGGTGAACTTCACAGTGGAAGAGATCCGTGAGTTGATGGACAAAAAGAAAAATATTCGTAACATGTCCGTAATTGCTCATGTGGATCATGGAAAATCTACTCTCACGGACTCTCTTGTTTCAAAAGCGGGTATCATTGCTTCTTCTCGTGCCGGTGAAACCCGGTTTACAGATACCCGCAAAGATGAGCAAGAACGTTGCATTACCATTAAGTCTACGTAAGTACTAGTATTGCAAGAACAGTTATTGCTTTATAGATTGTGAGTACTAATTTTGGTTTAGTCAAAACTAGTATGATAAAAAATAAGTGCATTTAAAGCTTATAGTAATTTGGTCTTCATTCTCTGGTTTTGAACTAGCATGTTCATCCTTAGAAACAGGATCTTAAATTAGGCTAATTACTACACACATTTTCCTGCTTTTGGGAAACTAGGCCTGATGAAGAGCACTAAAAATACTGTAGTCACGCAATTTTTCTGCGCATAATCTCTTGGGTTCCTTGCATATTGGTCTACACACTAGTATCTTGACCCCCTAACAGCTGTGAAGTTGTATAAAATGAGAACTTTGCCTAAAAAAAATGCATGTAGTAATAGGCAAGTTAGGTTAGTGATGTTTATGAAATGAACCTGTACGCCTATGTAGTAGGTGCGTAAAGCTGAAAAACGGAATTTACAAATGCTTTAGAGTACAGTAGCAAACTTCCCAAGTACTTTTTTATATATTTTAAACAGTTGCAGAAATTTGGCATTGTGCTTAAATAACCTGTGGGTTGCTGTGACAAGTTTTCTAACCATAGGCTATGAAACTACATACCAGCGAGTAAAAGGTATTTACTACAAAATTGTAGTAAATACCTTTTAAGAATCATATTGTCAGAATACCTTAATTTATAATCCTGCAATGAAACTAGGACCAAGCAGCCATAAAATAAATACTTGGTATAATTTTTTTTGTAACATTAATTTTGTTTGAAGGATTAACTTGTTAAATCGGTATGGTACCTATTTGCAGATTGACAGCATTTTAAAGAAGTTATAGTGATGAACAACTCGTTCGCATGAGTGATTAGTGAATCACGCAGATTCGACTAATGACACCTGATTTTTATGATTATTTACAGAGATGTGTACACATTTATGCAGTTTAATTAGCATGTGTTTTCCTACAGCGCCATCTCGATGTACTTCAAGCTAGGCGAAGAGAACATGGCTTTAATTACTAGCCCTGACCAAAGGGAGAAGGGTGAGAGTGGTTTCCTTGTCAACCTCATCGATTCACCTGGTCACGTGGACTTCTCATCGGAGGTGACGGCTGCCCTGCGTGTTACTGATGGTGCTCTTGTTGTGGTGGACTGTGTGTCTGGTAAATATTATTCAGATTTGTCTAATAACCAAAATTGATGAATATAGAGGCTGTATTTTCTATAAACTATTTTAAGTTTGTGCAAATGGTTACTTGACTGTATGCAGGTGTCTACTTCAGGGAAAGCTCTTACTAATATTTTTAGCCAGCCATCCAGTCATGGTTATGACTGGATGGATGACTTGTTTAAATGACTGATGCTTTCTTGCTTTCATTTAGTATTTTTTTATTTGATGTCAGGATTTTTAGAGGCGGTATCATTCAGTTGAATGTTAAATTTGCCTAATAGATACAAAATGGATTATATTGATAAGAATATATTCACATATGCTGTAGTATTGTAAACTAAAGAATTTACAAAGTTTTATTTGGTATAAGGATTTAAACATTTTGAACTTGCCTTCATTAACTTGCAGACTATAAAATTAGAGTAAAAGAAAAGTTGTATGACCTATGAAAAAACTTGGCAAATAACTATCTTGAAGGGGAGGGGGTGGTTCAGGTAGGCTAATTATAGCAGCTGGAATTAAAACAATGTTTTTACTTTAGCATTTTTTTTTATTGGCATGTAAACTTCTATTGAATGTAATAGCGAATAAGAAATGCTGTAAAGTCAAGGCAATAATTCTGCTGGTCAGAATTTCCAGAATTTAATGCTGAAGTGAGCCTATAGAGGCCTTTGACAAAAGTGCCCATGCAAGGGGGAAAAAAAAACTTAGCTGAACATAATCCTATAAATTTCCCCTAGTTCTATTGTATTCCATAGTGCTTGAGTAATATTGAAACTCATTGCCCCCTCCCACATAGCTGGTGCAGATACATGTTTTTTTTTTTTTTTTCCACTTTTTCCCCTGGCGTGCATAATAAAAAAAATTCATTAACCATTATCATTAATAGTTAATGATACACGTGCAGTCTCCATGGTGTAGTGGTAAAGCACTCGCCCAGCGCTTCATGAACGTGTTAAGACTGGGTTCATATCCTGGCCGGGGAGGATTGACTGGGTACCAATCCTTAATACTTTGCTTACCGCAGACTTTGCCGTCATGCTCCCAGTGGTGCGGGTGAGTGTGCGGTGACACACAAATGTGTAAACTCGTTTCACTATACTCGCCTTAATTCTCGTGCTACGTTGTTTGTTTTGGTATCAATGTGTTCGCAATTGAATTCCCTACAGGGATGTATGCATGCGAGATCCAAAAGCCTGGCGCGACTCCCCCGCAGCAAAGCCTAAAGTCGGCAGACTGTTACGTGTGAATGAGCACCAATTGGCACACGGCAACCTAATGTGTATACTCGTTCAGTTTGATAATCTCAATTTTCATGTTACATCTTTCATTTCATATTGTCAAATTATTCGCAGTATAAAGGAGCATATTTTAAAACTAGTCCCATAATAATAGAACAATAAATGTTATTTTTAACATTTTAAATTTGGGATGCCCATCACAATTTTTTTTCCTGTTCTGATATCAATTTTAGTGTTCAGTCTTTCATTTTGGTATCAAAATGCAATTTTGGTTAAATTGAATTGTTTACACCACAGTGAATGTACTCTATACATAGCTTGCCTGGCAAATGTACATAATAAGGACTTTGATAGAATGTCTTTTTGTGGTGATGCCCCACATAGATTCTCACAATAGCAATTTATTGATACAATAAATCTGGTTGAAGGACAATTACATTCTTAGAATTTCAGTAATTTTGGGAGGGTGTTGTAGGCTGGAAATTTTTTAGTCGTCACTTGGACTGAACACTTTTTGAATGATCAAAAGTCGGATATAAAACTTTCTTTGGCACAAACAAGAATGTCAGAAGGTTGAGTGGGTAATTTTAAAAGTTTCTTTTGGAGATTGTATAAATACTTTGGCAATCGCTAGATAACTGTAAGTGATAAATTTATTTGGCTCGTGAGCAATTACACACACACACAAAGATTGAACGTAATACTGATTTTTAATGAAGCATTGGTAATGTAATTTTATGAATAACTCGCTTAAAAATAAATTTAATAAATTACGGTGAGCAATACCTGTTGATAAAGTGCAAAGTAATGAAATTAATAAATGAATATTAAACACTTATGACACTGAAATGTGTCCAATTATCATTTGTGAAGATTTAATGTTTATATTGATCACTAACACATTAGCTATTGTAAATAATTTTGCTTTTGCTTCAGTTATCTAGATAATTCATTAGTGTTCATATTAATTTTAACATTTATATTTGTAACCCAACAAATAACTTTGGAAAATTTTGAAATCGGCCATGAGTTGCCCGAGGAGCCTGGAACAATAAATTTACAATAATTGGAATTCCCATGTTACTTTTTATAGATTGCCAAACATTTAGCACTTCTGCCCGGCGACGACGACTCGGCATTGAGTCCTCCGCAAAACAGGGGCAAGTCCGGCTAGGACTCAACATTGAGTCCTAAGCACGGCAACAGTAGTTTTTTTTTTGGGGGGGGGGGAGGTTTTGCACAATATATGCATATGCGCTTGTAGGGAATTTCATCGCGAATACATTGATACCAAAATTAAAGTCCTAGGACCAGAATTGAGGTAACAAAGTTGAAAACAGAATACCCATTTTATTGGTGCTCACTGGGATTATGCTCCATCACTTTCTCTGTTTGCTGTGGGTGCTATGCCAGGCTTTTGGACTTTATATTTGCATACTCCTGTAGCGAATTCTGTTGCAAAGGCAATGATACCAAAATGAAAGACTTGAGACGAGAATTGAGATGTCCAAAGTGAAGAGTGTACACATTTTATTGCTCTGGCTCGCTCCCGGGTAACATGCTCTAACTTTCTCGCTGGGCTTTTGGCCTTTATATGCATTTAGTCTTGTAGAGAATTCTATTGCGAACACATTGATACTAAATTGAAAAACCTAGGACGAGAATTGAGATGACAACGTTAAAAAGATTATTCACTCTTCATAGTGAGAAGCGCCTTGGGGTGGTGCAGCGCTCTTTCTTGTAACCGCGGCCTGTTTTCATCGTGTTGGCGGGTGGAGATCGCTGCCGTTTTTTTATATGCATATAGGCCTGTTGGGAATTCTATTGCGAACACATTGATACCAAAATGAAAGACCTAGGATGATAATTGAGGTGACCAGAGTGAAAAGACTGAAAACATTTTATCCCTCGAGCGCTCACGGGTCACTTGCTCACACTTTGTTTGCTGCGGGTGGTAAGCCGGGCTTATGGAGCTTGTATGCATTTCATCCGCTAGAGAATTCTATTGCGAACACAGATACCAAATTGAATGTCGTAGGAAGAAAATTAAGGTGACAAAGTTGAAAAGAGTATACACTTCTGAATTTATGCGCGCTCCCGTGAAACGCTCGGACCACTTTGGGATAGTGGAGAGGTCGCGAGTCTGGTGCGTAAAAGAGTATTTACAGTGCCAACAAAACAACTTGAACTTGAATACACCTTAAAGTTGGGCATAAAACAAAATGTTAAGACCTGCAAAGTAATCAGTTGATAAACTGAATGTAAATAATCTTTAAGTAAACTCGTATGTGCAGGGATACAATTCCATAATTGGATCATATTTCGGACTCTACAAATATCTTTGCAGTGAAGTCGTGTCGTCAAACTTTAGCCTATGGGATTATCTTAAAAGTAAAGGACGGCCATTTGTATAGACCTGTAAGTTTACTACTATTCTCTCCTGGAACATGTATGCATGTATAGTATAAAAATCTTGGTTAAATGAGGAAATGTATAAATATTAGTGTGGAATACTAATAACCCATCATGTTCTGTGCAAGGAGAAATTACCTGATATTGGCAACCAAACTACAAAAAACATTAGCAAAAGTACTGTGTATTTTCCTACCTCTGGCACTGTTTGCTGCCTCATTACAGGTGTGTGATATTTTATCAGTTGGATGTCCTGTGGTTGTTACCTTGTCATGGATAACTTTCCAAATGTGCTGTAGTAGCATGTGTGTAGCATTAATTAGCAACTCCTCAGCAAACTTCTACCACAACTTTGGGGTTGAGAATAAATTTGGTCTCCCAGATAACACTTCTGGAGCAGGGCTCAAATTCCTTTGGTTTGGCTTTGATTATACTACTTTCTGCCTTTAACCAATTCTCCGTCTTGTGAGTAGCGATAGGGCTTGTGATTTTGGTTCATGTTGGCACTTTTTCTTGGCCAATTTAATAAAAGCTTCAAACTGGCCAAAAATGCTGTTCAAATTGTCAGCGTTTGTGCCCAGTTCAGTTCGAAAGACTTACAAATTGCCGAGCTAGGTTTGGCCTGTCATTGGCTTGCAACTGCCCTGGATAGGGAAGGCATGTTGGATGCTTGCTCTCATTAGCTAAACAGGAAGTGTTATAGGCACTACTGATCAAGGTGGTTCCATGGTGCTTCACTATACATGAGGCTGCTTACCTTTAATCAAATTTGAAGACTTTAAAAAAAGTATTTTCGTGTCTCCAGATGGATGTTAGGGTAAGTCTTGGTGTAACCAGGGGATAATAATGATGGCAGAAGTCTCTGGCACTTTTAATTATGGCTGTACTGTAGTGATTTGAGCATTTTACATTTTTACAAAATTCTTTGGCCTAATGCTTTCCCAGCTAATGTTGGAAATGTGGTAATTATGTATTATGAAGATTTGCATACCAGTGTTGGTGAGAATGTTAGTCATTTCCCTATGGGTATAGCAGGACTTTGAGGAAATAGTTTTGAAATTACTGTGTAATCATAACGTGGAGTTACACCTGAATGCAGAAATGTCAATGTATTAACTGCCATCTTGTATCCTGATCAACCTATAGTATGGCTTAAATTAGTAATTGTGGTTTCTAAAGGTTGAACTTTCTTCTCTAGGTGTCTGTGTGCAGACTGAAACTGTTCTCCGTCAGGCTATTGCTGAACGTATTAAGCCTGTGTTGTTCATGAACAAGATGGACCGTGCCCTACTTGAATTGCAACTAGAGCAAGAGGAACTTTATCAAACTTTCCAGGTATGTTACTATAACTAGAGTGTATTGCTAGAAATGCAAAGTTTGGAGCAGAGCAGATGTTACATGGTCTCAATGTGAAGCAGTCTAAATTTCATGCAAAGTCTTGCCAAAAGGATAAAGGGTGCATGATCTGTGTATATAATATAAAGCTTCCCCAATTAGGGAAAGTAGTTTAGTATAATGTAATTGTCAAATTTTAGACAATTGTTTATTAAGAAAAGTTGATGAATTGTATTGATGGAATACATTTCTCTTGCAATTTGTATCCTGGTAAGGTAAAATGGCTATTGTATTGATAACCCCTAATTCTTCCATTTCTTGTCAGTCACTACCTCGCAAGACATGCCCAGGCTGGGCTTGAGTAACTCAAAATTGAATATGGGGTAAACCCCTTATTCTTCAGGTGTAAGTGGAGGAGGACAATACCAGGATCTAGTAAATATTATTAATGGAAAGAACTGAACAGATTCATTGAAGTAAATGTGATAACTGTTTTACTCTAGTGTGGAGTTGTATGGAGTGGTTGGGCTTCATGCTTAACCCTTGGGCTTAGGGGTTACCCCAGCATTTGATAGTGTGGGGAAAAACAAAATTATTTGATTTTTTTCTTTTAATTAAAATGGAGGGGGCAGGAAATTATTTTGGCTGGTGGAGCCGAGAAGTCCCTAGATTAAAGAGTGAAATGGTTACCCCAAGGGCATTAGAGCCAGCCCCAATGTAGGGGGCAGAAGTTGCCACAGATACATTTATTTCTGTTAGATTAGTATTTTCTAGTTTTTCCAGTAATGTTCAATGGTCATTTGAGAAATTGATGCCTAAAAATGTGTGAAACATTGGCATGCTCAATTACAACTTGTATGCTCTTAATATGCTTAGCCAGCCCATCCTATTGTTTTGGCAGTACTTGTAGTAATGATGAGGACCATAATATATATACTGACATACAATGAAATTAAAATGTTGAAATGTGAACCGAGTTGGACAAACCGGGAATTCTTTTGTTGCATTTACAAACTAAACTAAACCTATCCTTACTGGCTTAGGCCTAATACATGATATCCGAGGCCTAATATAGTAAATGTTATACTAGGCCTAATAAAATACAAGTTTATTTTCATTTTAAAAAATCCTTAAGTTGGTATACTGCTATCTATCTAAAAGCTAAGACTGAACGAAATCTGACTGTTGACAATAGTCACAATAGGTACTTAACACAATAAAACCTGTTTTTGTAGTTATTGAATTATGTAATCATATCTACATTTTTATGCATAAACAAAATAATAAGCAGTTCTGGTGGGTATAATAACTTTTAAAATATCAAATTTCAGCCTAGTTCCACATTTTCTGTAAAATTGTAGCATGCATAGAACATTCTAATGATTTCAGTGGTGCATTGGGCTTTCAATGTTAATTATCATAGAACATGTGCACATTTTCACTTGCCCGATATTATATTCTTTGAACAAAAAACTTTAATTACACAATTTACAATGTGTACATTTTATGCACCTTAACGAACCAATAAGCAGTTCTTGTGGATGCGATAAAGAAATTGGAGCACAGCATAGCCACACAATACAAGCAGACTGATGTCTAGTGCAGCAAAATGCTTCTAATATACTACGTGCATCGTTAAATATAGACTAATACCATTATCCACTTCCTATCACTGAATCATAAATATTATTTTTCTAAAAGTTTTTGAAAAGGAACTCGAGGTTATTTCATAAGATGAACAAAACCTTGACTGTATGTCTGTCTCCTCCTGTGAACATTGTAACCAGCAATGTGTTCACTGATATCTGAACTTGGTAAGAGCTTTATCTCGGTTGGGATCTTCTGAGTCAGTAGAAAGTAGTTATCCTTGTGCTATTTCTTAGCCTGATAGGGTGGCAGAACAATCAAATTGTAGTTTTAAATTTCATCCTTGATAAAAACAATGATTTACAAATATTTTTCTTGGTCTTAAACTGTGATTATTTTTTTAATGATAATGCAATTTTGTTACCCTGCAGCGTATTGTGGAGAATGTGAACGTGATCATTGCCACTTACAACGATGATGCTGGCCCCATGGGAGAGATGCGTGTGGACCCTAGCAAGGGCTCTGTTGGCTTTGGCTCTGGCCTTCATGGTTGGGCTTTCTCTGTCAAGGAGTTTGCTGATATCTATGCCAGCATGTTCAAAGTTCCTGCTGCCAAGCTTATGAACAAGTAAGTTGACTTTTGGAACCATTTTAAATGTTTTGAGGGTTTGGCTAGTGTTCTGAATAATTTGTGTAGACAGCTGAATTATGCTTTTATACCTAGTTATTTCACTGTGGCACTTCTCTAGTATGGGTAAACACATTTTTAGCAAAAATTACCTGCTCTTAACACTTAATATTTATAGCCAGGTATTTGTTCACATTAACTTCTGAAGGAAAAAAATGCTTGTTACAGAACTAAGTAGTGTTAGAGATAATGATTGGGATTGATACGTCATAGTATGTTACATGTACTGTATTTGGAATGTGGCATTCCTATTTTGAATAAATGTAGTCCTAATGTGTAGTAATATTCTCTTGAACACATTGGCCCTAGTAATGTTACTTTTATCATGTGACTTTCTTCCTCCTACCCCTCCCCCTCAACCTTCCGTTGCACATTTTTAATTTGCAAGTAGTTTTGGCCACATGTTCACCCAGGCTACAAATCACATCAAAACAAATGCCTGAATAAAGGGTTAAATTATTCTAATATGGTTTCTTAGCCGTTACACATTAGAATACTAAAAGATGTCGGTAATTTAAATTTCGGTAACCTGAATCTTCGGGTTAATCTGAATGTAGCAAAATTAATTTATATTTTTTTGGGGAAGAAAAGGCTGATTTTTTGTTTATATACACCAGTAAACAAATGGATTCATGTGCTTCAGATTATAGCATAGACTATACACCATACTGTTATAAAGTTCATGACTGCATCTTTGGAGCCTGCCAATTAGAGGAAGAATTGGCATTAACTTTAAGGGGCCAAGAGTCAAATATGCCAAAAATTGAAAACTGGTTCGATTTCAATCAAACTTTTTTGAAGAGTTGTATATGGAAAGGGGTTCATCTGGTCCAAGTCTTAGCATCGTTGCACAAATAGGGAGAAAAAATATTGAATTATCAAAAATGGTCAAAAAAGATTATCAAATAAGTGTCAACTGAAATCATGTCTGACTATCACAATAGCATGTATTAAAAGTTTTATTAAAAAAAAGTTAAAAAAAAATTGTTTTTTTTTTCACTTTCACTTGTTGGACGGTTTGCATGAAACTTGTACACCTGATGGCACGTGAGCCTATCTGTAAGGGGGCCAAGGGGCCCAGGAAATTAGTTGTCAACCTCAGCTACAGATGGCAGCACCTTAGACTTTAATATATTATTTTTCAAGTAATAAGACTTGGTACTCATTCATTTTTATTAAATTTACATGAAACTTACATCTTATATGTAAAGTTTCTCTAAAATATGAAGGAAGCCCCTTTTTCCCCAAGTTCATTTATTGATTTTATAAATAGCAATAAACATGACATGTTTGCATAATTTTTTGGGGGAAATTTAACTTTGTATTAGGAAAAGCTAAAGATGTTTTGGAAAATCCCCTCCTTCATATCCTTTATTATATGCTAATCTGTCAGTCATAGAATGGTTATATCTGAAAAGGTGCAAGGTTTGAACTCATTTGAAAATGTATTATTATCTTTGAAAAAAAATTAAATCTCGCTTTCTGTTTAGGTTACAGTACAGACACTTGGACCAATTGCAGCCCTTTTCATGTACAACTAGTAAAAAATTTTGACATTGAACAACTTTCATCTTTGAACCCTCTTGGCCCCTTAACTGCAGCCAAGAGGGCTGCAGGGTATATAAAAGTGACTAGAAGAGTGTGGAGCATTAATTGGCATTTAGACTGTTAGAAGAATAGTCTAATATAAATTGGATTAACTTTCTCCCTGCAGGTTGTGGGGTGAGAACTTCTTCAACAAGAAGACAAAGAAGTGGTCAACAACCAAGAGTTCTGACAATGAGCGTGCCTTCAACACCTACATCCTTGACCCCATCTTCAAGTTATTTGATGCTATAATGAACTTTAAGGTATGTATTCTTGCATGTGGTTAGTAGTTAAATTTTGAGTAATATTAGTAATTAATATGAAATATTAATTATTAAGAGGCATTTACCACTTAAATTTTCAGATGCTTTTCTGTTTACCCTCCATTACTTGTAGAGTCAACTAGATGAGAACTACATTGATGCATGTTTTTTCTTTGTGGTTGAGTTCTCAGAATTTGAGTTTTTAAATTATTGCAGAAAGACGAAACTACGAAGCTCTTGGAAACCTTGAAAATCAAGTTGGCTGTTGAGGACAGGGATAAGGAAGGAAAGCCTCTACTTAAGGTAGTAATGCGCACTTGGTTACCAGCTGGTGATACCCTCTTCCATATGATTACCATCCATCTGCCTTCTCCAGTAACTGCCCAGAAATATCGTGCCGAGATGCTTTATGAAGGACCATCTGATGATGCCTGTTGCACAGGCATTCGCAATTGTGATGCAGAGGCCCCACTTATGATGTACATATCAAAGATGGTGCCAACATCAGACAAAGGCCGCTTCTATGCCTTTGGTCGTGTGTTTTCTGGAAAGGTTGGCAGTGGTCAGAAAGTGCGCATCATGGGACCTAACTTTGTCCCTGGCAAGAAGGAAGATCTTTATGAAAAATCTATCCAGAGGTCGATCTTGATGATGGGTCGCTTCGTTGAAGCCATCGAAGACGTCCCAGCAGGGAACATTTGTGGTCTAGTTGGTGTTGATCAATATCTAGTGAAGACTGGTACCATTACAACAAGTAAGGATGCCCACAACATGAAAGTTATGAAATTCAGCGTGTCGCCTGTTGTGCGTGTGGCTGTAGAGCCAAAGAATCCATCTGACCTCCCCAAGCTTGTTGAAGGTCTTAAACGGTTAGTATTTTATCTTGGTTCTTGATTTGTAAAGCTATAATTGTATATTTTGAATGTGAACCTATTTTCCTTTATTGGCTAGGATATTTTGAAGAATATCCCAGCTTGATATGCTTGTTGGGGTTCTGGGAGTTTTTACTCCCCAATCCAAGCTTGACTAGAGCTTGGTCCAACAGGCTGTTGCTTGAAGTGGCCTGCATTCCCACATATCCACCAGTCTGGTTGGTCTGGCACTTGAAAAAAAATCTAGATTTCTCTTAAGATGTACATGGTTGTTCTGGCAATATTTCTTATACTTCTGGGAGGCTGTTGAACTGTGGACCTCTTGATATTTATAGAGTTCTTTGATTGTGCTAATGGCACCCCTGCTCTTCAGTAGGTCAATTTTCCATTTTCTTCCATATTGTTCACTCCAGTATGTACCGTGTAGATTTAGGACCTGGACCTCCAGTATTTTCCATGTTTATTATTTGATATATTATTATCTTAGTCTTTCTAGCGAGTACATTTGGAGAGCTTTGAGATGCTCCCAATAATTTAGAAGCTTTATTGCATCTATGCATGCTGTATATGTTCTCTGTATTCCCTCTGTTCCAGCAATCTCTTGCTCTGAATGGGGAAGCAAGTACTGAGCAGTTAAAGATGGGACAGCACAAGTGATTTGAATAGTACAACCATTGTGATGGCATCCCTGGATTTTAAAGTTCTCGTAATCCATCCTATCTTTTTATGGCTGACGCAATATTTGCTTGGATATGCTCCCTAAACATTTGGTCGTCAAACATCATTATTCCCAAATCTTTTACATGCTGCTTTCCTACTATGTGCAATTTCATTTTGTACCCTGTATTGCATTTAAGTGTTCATTTTTACTGTACTTGAGTACCTGGAATTTATCATTTCAACAGTTAAGTTTCTGCTGACCAGTCAAACTTTGTGTGTAGTTTTTCCATGTCTTCAGCAGAGGTAATTTTCATGCCGATTCTCATCTGCAAAGGATATGAAGCTGTAACTTTTATTTTTGTTTATATCTGATATAAGAATAAGGAAAGTCAGTGGTGTAAGGACTGTGCCCTGAGGTACAATGCTTTTAACTGCGCTTGCATTCTATTTTATATGGTCTACTGTTAATTTTGTCAAACAGAACAGTGAGTATCCACTGTCCTACTTTACCAGTTATTCCCATTGACACCATTGTGTGATCACTAATGGTCACCATTTGATAATGGTTTATCAAATGCCTTTGCAAAGTCTGTTTACCACATCTGCATTCTGTTTTCCTTCAAATGCCTCTTGATTTTGCTGTAGTGGTAAAGTAGCCGAGGCATGATCTTCCCACTCTAAATCCATGTTGGCCTAAGTTGTGAAGGTCATTGGTCTCCATGAAACTGGTGACCTGACTCCTGATCACTCAAAACTTTTGTGGGATGTTAGTGCAACTAGTCTATAATTCTTTGTCAATGCTTAGCTCATTGCCTTGTGTAGAGTGGCTATGTCTACTGATTTAAGCGCATCTGGTATCTCCCTCGTGTCAAAGATATTCCTCTACACTAAACTGAGTGCTACTGGGCACTTTGCATTTATTTAAATATCGAATGGTGAGTCTGGACCCAGGGTTGAGTGCATGGGCATGTTGTCAATTTCCCAAATTCTGCCATGCTAGTGTTTGATATTGGTTATATTTACAAGAGTTTGGATACCATGCATAAAGATGTTTCTGGATCTTCCACTTTCATGCTGTATATTGGAGTGCTAAACATGTCCTTGTGCAGCTTAACACTTTCGCTCACCCCGCACGCCACCTCTCAATAGTGCGATATGGGACCCAGGGTGTCACTGGAGCGTGCGTAAATTCTGAAAAGTGTGTACTCTTTTCAACTTTCACCTTAATTCTCGTCCTACGAGATTAAATTTGGTATCATTGTGTTCGCAATAGAATTCTCTACAGCACTAAATGTATATAAACTCCAAAAGCCCGGCTATTTACCCGCAGCAAACAGAGAAAGTGCGAACGAGTTACCCAGGAGCGCGCAAACGCGATAAAATGTTTTCACTATTTTCACTCTGGTCACCTCAATTTTTGTCATAGGTCTTTCATTTTGGTCTCAATGGGTTCGCAATAGAATTCTCTAGAGGAACATTAGCATATAAAATATAAAACCTGGTCACGCTCCAACCGCCGACGAGTTGAAGACGGGCCACGCGTTAGCCGGGAGTGAGCGCTCAGACGCCTTCCAGCTACACTCCCAATTCCCTCCCTTTTCAAGCCTTTCTTTCGCAATTTTCTTCCTGGAAGGGCCTTGTTCATGATCACTATCCATCGTGGAGTAAGGGTAGATAGTTTCTAAAGCCGCAGTAAGAAATATAGCCACGGAAAATAGCCGAAATGTTCACACGTTTGAGGTGCGAGGGGAGGCGACATTGGTCACAACAGTGGAGCGAAAAGAATGGGCCCACGGCGTGTGCCAAGCCACCTGAGGGCCACGAGGCTCAACAAAGAAAATGGGAAGACATCGGCGCACATTTTAAAACTAGTCCCCAAAAAATCGGATAAAAACCTGATTTTTGGCGATTATTTAAAGTGGATGACGCAATGCTGCGTCATGCCCGGGCGAAAGTGTTAAGATTTCACATGGAATAAATTGTCATTTTATTAAACAACTTGGTGCTGTTAATTTCGTTTTAAGAGTACTTGATATTCAAATTGGTAGTCCAGCATATTCTTTAGTTTGATTTTCAACCATGGTTCACCATAGTTGTAAATTAATGAAATACTCATTAAAGGAATTATACATTTTAAAATCTGTTACTGTATAATGCTGCTGTAATTTTGGTCATTGCAATGTAATTTTAAATCTTGGAAAGATAAAGAAATTGACAAATATATTTGGGCATAATGGTGCTGCATGCTCATTCTTAATTTTATGCATGAGGTTTATTACTATTAGGTAATCATGTGTCAGATCTTGCTATTCAAGATTTCAAGGCAGAATTCAATTTCCATTGATTTCTAGTGAAAGTCTGTGCAACTCACTTTGGTGAACAAAATAAAACGTCGTCCTTTATTGTTGAAGGGTTAATTTGTAAATTCATTAAAGTGCATGCCTTGACAATTGAATCTACATAGCCTGTTTAGCAAGTAACTTGTGGATTATAATTTGCTAAGCAGTGTAAATGCACAGTAGATGTGCAATGTAAAGGTAATCACGTATTTAACATCTTGGAGTTTATTCATGTGTACAAATGCAGGGTGACACTAGGTCCATATCTTCATACATAGTATTCATGCAGCATGAAGTGCGGGATGGTGCCTAGAGTAATATTTGCCCCAAAAAACTAATGTGATGTCCTAAAATAGACAAACTTTGAATAACCTACAAAAGATTGTTTTGCATATGCTTGCTTTGTTACTTCCACTCATGTGTTGGAGCTCTTGAGGCTTTTGGGCATTCAATGTTGGCATTTCAGTAATATTGCCTTCTCATAAATGGTAAATTCATAGTGCCTGAACTCCTGTATAAACCTTGTAAGTTTAAATAAACCATCCATAAATAGTCACATGTCACAAAAGAATGGCACAATTTAGCAGTTTTTTATTTGCACTTTATACACTTGTACCGTCCCAAACCTACTTGTTCACCACACATTCACACTCCCTTGCTCTTATAAATTTTGTATGTGGAAAGTAAATCAGGGGAGGGGTATTTTAATAAGATTCATGGCAAGGTTTTTAATAAGATGCATACCTTTAAGGTCCTAGACATGCTGTCCTTGATTGGTTGGACTAAATGAATTTGTAATCCTTCCCTTCAAGGAAGGTAGTCTTGTTTGTGAATCTTCCAATTTGCCACTGGCCAGGAGGTGTTCCTGTTCGGTTTTCCATAGGAAGAAGAAAAAAATTTACATTGTCCGAATTTTATTCAATAACCTGTTGAATAATTTTTGCCAATGTTGAACAAGATTAAGGAAAGAAAGCTTTTGAGATTTATAATTGTCATATATGTTAACATTTTTTTCTACTCTGCAGTCTTTCCAAGTCGGATCCCATGGTACAGTGTATCATTGAAGAGTCTGGAGAACACATTGTAGCAGGAGCTGGTGAATTGCATCTTGAGATTTGCCTAAAGGTAAGAATAAAAATTGGAGTTTAGATTGTACTATATTAGTCTTGTTCTGTAGCTACATCATTAGGTTTTATCAGTTCTTTGGTCTTAAACATTTAAAGTATTTCTGCATGTGTTCTGACAATATTGCTACCTACATATTTATAGTTAATAATGCAATATCATTTGTTTGTGAGGGCGGGAGGGGATTAATGTTATGGGTTAAGAGGAAATTTGTAAACTTGAAGGGCCTTTGGTTCAATCTGACATTTAATATTTTACAGGATCTAGAAGAAGACCATGCTTGCATTCCCCTAAAGAAGACTGATCCCGTGGTATCATACAGGGAAACCGTTTCAGCAGAATCGACAGAATTGTGTTTGTCAAAATCACCTAACAAGCACAACCGTTTGTATATGAAGGCTCTTCCTATGCCTGATGGCTTGGCTGATGATATTGAGAATGGTAAAGTTACTCCACGTGATGATCCCAAGGCCAGGAAGACGTTCCTTTGTGAAAACCATAAATTTGATGCCACTGATGCTATGAAGATCTGGACATTTGGACCAGAATCGACTGGCGCCAATATTCTTGTCGATGTGACAAAGGGCGTACAGTACCTTAATGAGATCAAAGATTCATGTGTAGCTGGTTTCCAGTGGGCTACAAAGGAAGGTGTACTCTGTGATGAGAACATGCGTGCTGTTCGCTTCAACCTTCATGACGTAACTCTACATGCTGATGCTATTCATCGTGGTGGTGGCCAGATCATTCCTACTACTCGCCGTGTGCTTTATGCTTCTGTTCTTACAGCAGAGCCCCGCCTACAAGAACCAGTGTATCTCTGTGAGATTCAGTGCCCTGAAGCTGCTGTAGGTGGCATCTATGGTGTATTAAACAGGAGGCGTGGTGTTGTATTTGAAGAAATGCAAGTGATGGGTACACCCATGTTTGTTGTCAAGGCTCATCTTCCTGTCAATGAGTCCTTTGGATTTACTGCCGACCTTCGTTCAAATACTGGTGGTCAGGCATTCCCTCAATGTGTGTTTGATCATTGGCAAGAAATGCCTGGCAACCCCATGGATGCAACAGCCAACAGCAAGCCCTACAACATTGTTATGGAAACCAGGAAGAGGAAAGGCTTGAAGGAAGGCCTACCGGACCTCACCAACTACCTGGACAAGCTGTAATCACATGACCCACATACCATAGATATATAATAAGGTTTTATTTACTATATAATGTTACTGTGATTACAATAAAGCGGGAGGAAGTTGGCTTTTTGTTTACATGGTTAACCATTTTGGCATAACTAATTCCTTTTGTGGAAAACTTAAAGCATCATTGAAACTAGGTTTAAGTTCTTAATTGTAGCTTTTTTTTTAATGTACTGAAAGCCTTTTCTTAAAGGTTAGAATCTGGTTCAAAGTAGTGTGCGCTTGTAGTATCTTGCTGTCAATGTGACTTAAGACAATTCTTGGCGACTCTTGATACTTTTGATATAGTTCGCCTTGTGCGTTTTTGTTTTCGTATTGGCATCCTTGGTGATATTTAGCGCCCTCTGATTATCCCGCACATTTGATGGTGCTACATAGCCTTCCCGGTTTGGTGCCTTCTTTTGATAATTACTTATTTGCTTCATAGTCATATAATAAGGCAATTAAGGTTGTTTGCATAGGTATATGGAGGCAGTGACTTATATAAAGTGCATAAATGAGCTCCAATGATTTCGTTACATGTGATAGTGCTGCAAATTGCACAAAATAAATGTAAAGTTGCATACTTAACAAGTCGGTTTTGTTGAGAGCACAGCCGTAAAAAATTAGGTTGTCTGCCATTTGCAAAATGTCAATCTTGCAGAAGTCTGCATAGCCCCTTACCCTGTCTGCTACTGTTGGTATGATAAGTTGCATAAGAACCCAGCAGGCTTCAGATATACTTCTAAGGTGGATATTTTTAATTTGAGGAATATAAAGGGCTGTCCTAGTGCAGTTGTAGCACAAACACTGACTGGATACAGAAAAGATTCCAGGGAAAGAAATATAAGTGCAAACATCCTATAGCACAGGAATACTACCTTAATAAATCTGTCCCCTCTGATTATTCTGCACATTTGATGGTGCTACATAGCCGCCCCGGTTTGGTGCCTTCTTTTGATTACTTGCTTACTAAATAAAAAATCTGTCGGGAGGATTTTTTTTTTTTTTTTTTTTTTATTATTATTATTATTCCTGCGCGGGCCCATTGTGTTTTTTTTACTGGGCGGAGTATTAGCATTTGACTTATGGTCGCTTCAGTAATATTGTCCCACGTGTTTTAACAACTGCTCTGTTGAATCGAAGTTGAAATCTTAATGGTTTTGTAACTGCACTGTTCGATAATGTTTTAGTGGTGTTTGGCATTTCTCCACGTGCTAACATTTCCTGTAGTCTTCCGGAACCTGTAAGCTTATTTCCCATGGACATAGGTATCCAAGCCTGATGCGATTTAAGTGTACAGTACTTCGGTTCTACTGCTCCCTTTCATGAAACTAAGTGGTTTGTAGTTAGTTGAATTCTTGTACCAACCAGCAGATCTTGCAACTGCTGTGTTGTGGTCACTACATCTTTTTGCATTGTTCGTTTTCTAATTACTTTCTTAATCTGATATACTCTGGTATGTAAATGTACATTTCTTCTTAGTTGCAAGTTTTGCAGCTTCGTGTGCAATGTCATTTCCTATTCCCACATGACTTGGCACCCAGTTGATAAGTACCCGTCGGTCTTGTCGTTTGAGTGTTTACATTAATGATACGACATTTGTGATCAGGTGGATGTTATCACGTTTTTGTTGCAAGGTTTCAATGGCAGTGTTGGGAGTTAATATTTATAGGGCAGTTTAACTTATCCACCCCTCTGGTGTCGCCTCGTCGTGGTGAGGGGCTCGCATGCACCTCCCTGGGACCGTTGAGGTTTGCCTTCGCCCCCTCTCCTGCCCCTCCTTGGGTATTGTACATGCAAAAGGGCACTGCCATAGGGGAGGTCTTTGTCACCAGACCACTCTCTGGAGGGGCTGCCCTAAGTGGATGGCTTGGGAGAATGAGGTCTTAGTACCAATGTGGGAGAAAGGACAGCATTAGGACGCCTGTTAAAATGGGGGAGCACCGCTGGGGACGTAGAATTTATGAAATATGAAAACAACCAACACTTCTTACCCCAGGCTCGTGGGGTGGGTGACCAGGCCCCTGAGTCTGACTGATGGAAGCCTGGGGCCAAGTGCATGAAGTTAAGCAAGCACTTAAGAACTTGTCCATCTTTTCTCAATCATTGGCAGCTTTGTTTACCATTATTAAGCAGTCAATGAGCGCCGAAGCACCATTGGTTGTTAATTTGATGGATGGCTGTTACTTTTAACCCCACCCGTTTTGGTACATGTCGCTGCTCCTACTCTGGAAGCCGCTGCACTGGGGAGACCCCTATTAGGGTCTCCAATGCCAGGTTAAATGCCAGTATTGGCACTGTTCTCCTGTACCATGTTGCAACTGGTGTTAGGGATCTGGAAAAACTGCCAGGATATTAAACTTTCATTATTATTGCTTTCAAGGATATTAAACATATCCTTGAAACCCAAGGCCATTCTGTCCACCAGGTTGATATATTCACTCGACACCCCTCGTGATAATCGCCATCAGCCTCTTCGAGTTGTGAAGATCACTTTTGATAGTAGGAACTTCTATAATTCTTGCTGGTGCCAGATGCTCCGTTCAGGAGTACTCTTCTAGACTTAGCAAGAAGTGCTGGAAATTTGGGCATGGTGCCCTCAAATGCACAATAAGACTGAGTTCTCTTCTTCCCAGGTTTACTGCCTCAGTTGCCTGCCCCCTACCTTCTCCCGCGCGTGTATACACTAAATTTGAAGAAGCCGTCCTCAATTTGAAGCACCGCGAGTGTTTGTCTTTTTCCTGAGGCGAGACGCCAAGTCAGGCGCCTCTCCCCTTTCACTAGCATATCTTATGCGCCTGTGTTGCGCTCCACCTCTACTTGCTCTTCCTTCCTTTTTCAGTCTCAACCGTTTCCAGGTCTTGGACCCGGACACGCCCTGTTGCTTTACGTTTTGAACCACGGGGATCGTCCTAGTTCTCCATCTAGTGTTTCCCTCCTTCCTTCCCAGTCTGCCGTGTCTCCTATGTCTTCTTTCCCGTCTCCCCCCGACCCTTCTTAATTCCCAACCCTTCCCCGTCTCTTCTCTCCCCTCTGCACCGCTTGTCTGTCCAGGCTGTTGTGCATCATCCTAGCTCCCAGCAATTTTCATGTTGATCGCTCCCATTCTCCTTCTGTTGAGACTTATTAACTGTCGCCCAGTACGTTGCTGCTGGCTTACCTTTCTTTGTCAGAAACGTAAGCCTGGCTCCTCTCCTTCCTCAACGGCAGGTAAGAAAGCGTGCTCCTGCTCCCTTGACTCCATCGTCATTGCTAAATTTATCCATGCCCTCTAAGCCTGATTTCACTGATCCTGATCATCTTGAGTGTACTGTGTTGTTCTTTGTGTTTGTCTCTTCATTGTTCTCTTGCTGTTCCCTCTCCCTTTGACAATGTTTATTATTCAATCAAATATTCGTAGATTTTATTCCAACGACCATGAATTCCATCTTCTGATAACGCAGTTTCACCGCTTTGTGTGTTTCCAGAGCCGATGCTTGGTGCTCGTTCTGGTCAATTTTGTGGTTATTCCTTCTCTTTCCCCCTCCAGCTTCTGCTGGGGCCCATAACTCTACTGCTCTCTTGATTCCTACTGATATTCCCTTCGTCCCCCAACTTTTTCCGTCGCCTATCCAATGTGCTGCGGCGTATCTTTTGTGAGTAAATAGTATACAGTCTGTTCCATTTATCTCTCTGCAAATGTCCCACTTTCTCTTGCTGATCTTATGCACCTGTATTGTGTCACGACGATTCCTTCCGATCTCCGTGCGATCACTTCTCCAGCCTACGACTGCACATCGAGTCAGCTATCGATCGGTCTGTGTGCATGGGAACAGAGCACCAACCTTCCATGTCATGGGAAGGCTGAACAAAAACACTGTGGCGTCGCCTCTCTCCACCAACGAGGAGGCGACAAACCACACGGCACCTCGGATGCATTTCCGACGGTTCCTTTCATATAAAAGGGGTGACGCCGAGGAAAATAAGACTCGCGTCCCTACCAAAACGATAAGATACCAGAGCCTGTGCACCTGTTGGATGATTTCAACTGTTGGTATACCCTTTGGGGTGATGCTCTGACAAACACCCGGGGTCACCTTCTCGAACCATTTGTCCTCTGTTCTTCTATCTCCTGAATTTTGGTGAACCACGCATGTGGACTCCTGTACTCGCACCCCTCTCCTATCTTGATCTCTCTCTCTCTGCTCGTCTTATCGTTACTTAGATTTCACTTGGCGGGTTCTTGATGACCTCCATAACAGTGACCATTTCCCCAATCGTGTCACCTTTTTCTCTCTCCACCCTCCCCTCTACTTCCCTAGGTGGCAGTTTGCCAAGGCTGACTGGAATCTATTCACCCTCCATGTCACTCTTTGCGACCTCTGCTCTGCCTCTCCCTCGAGCCGCCCTCCTGTTTCATGACACTTGTCGGAAATTTCCGACACCCCCAAATACCAACCCCTAGCACAGTAAGATAAAAAGTATTATGTTAGGAAATCAAATTTACTAACACTATTAATTCCTAGTATGGGAACGCCGAAAGTTTCCTACTATTCGTGGCTGCTGTTGCGTCTGCCTGGTTGATACCTGGTTGATGGGGTTCTGGGAGTTCTTCTACTCCCCAAGCCCGGCCCGAGGCCAGGCTTGACTTGTGAGAGTTTGGTCCACCAGGCTGTTGCTTGGAGCGGCCCGCAGGCCCACATACCCACCACAGCCCGGTTGGTCCGGCACTCCTTGGAGGAATAAATCTAGTTTCCTCTTGAAAATGTCCACGGTTGTTCCGGCAATATTTCTTATGCTTGCTGGGAGGACGTTGAACAACCGCGGACCTCTGATGTTTATACAGTGTTCTCTGATTGTGCCTATGACACCTCTGTTCTTCACTGGTTCTATTCTACATTTTCTTCCATATCGTTCACTCCAGTACGTTGTTATTTTACTGTGTAGATTTGGTACTTGGCCCTCCAGTATCTTCCAGGTGTATATTATTTGATATCTCAAATAATATCAAATAATATGATATCTCAAATATCAAATATCAATTTGATATTTGCCGCCCCTCACATGGGGACGAATTCTTTATTTGAATCTAATTAAAC